CATTATGGTAAGATCATACAAACTCAAGTGGATATACATCATTTTAAACTCAATCACTCCTCTTACACACATGTTTTTCGTGAATCATGTTTCCTAGAACTTCCTAAGCTCGAAAATCCTCTCAAGAACACACCTAAGTCCGAGATCTTCTCATTTCCTCACCAAAAACCGAAAACTTCAAAACAAAGTGAGTTCATACCCCTATTTTCGATTTTTACTTTGTTTTGGGGGAGAATACAAGTTGTTTTGTGTATATCTATGTGTGTATGCATGATTTTGTGTGTTTTTCTAGTTATATATGTGTTATGTGTTAGAAACTTCATAAACTTAAAGATCTACTAAAAGATGATGATATTGGTATGACATAACACTTATTTCAACTCGTCTTATAAGAAAAAGGTTTAAAATACATCTAGATTACTTGAAGCTAAGAAAAACTTTATGAAAGGGGCTAAAATCGACAAAATGACAAAAGTATGAGTTATTTATGTAACTCACGGCTAGTAAGGGGTTCAAAAGGAAATTTTTGCTAAAAAAAGGCTAATCTCGACATTTGAGACCTTACAAGGACTAAAAATGTAAACATTTTCATAAATGGGCCTTATTTGGGCTTCTCACGGTTTTGGGCCCAAAAATTGTAACTTTTGATCTTTTGTGGGCTTAAATGTCATTTTCAAGAAAGTTGTGCCAAAAATGTAAATTTTCGATAAGAAGGGTTAAAGTTGTGAAAATATAAAAATTTGGGCCAAAAAGATAAAATTTTCTATAATGGGCCGAATATGTATTTTATAAAAACACAAGCCAAAAATGATATTTTTGACAAAAGTGAGTTAAAAATGTTATTTTTACAAAAACTAGACTTAAATACAAGTTTTGTCCAAAAAGGGGCCTAAAATGTTATTTTTACTAAAATTGGGCCTTATTTGTAAATTTTTGGCTTAATGGGCCAAGAATGTCATTTTTACTAAAATTGGGCCTTATTTGTAAATTTTTGGCTTAATGGGCCAATAATGTCATTTTTACAAAAAGTGGGCATTTTATGCCATTTCGGTAAATAATTGAACTAATACTAGCAATATAATAACAAACAGACTAACTTTTGCCATTCTCATATTATTGGGCCTTAGTGGCCCGTTTATATGTTTGATAGGTCCTGAATACTATTTATATGTTTATTGGGCCTCATTGACCCATTAACATGCTCGACGGACCTTGGATCGTGCTATTTGGGCCTGTAAATACCTTATATGTGAAATGGGCCTTAGTTGTCCTTTTACATATATTTTGGGCCCATGTTATATAATCTCATTCCTTTCGGGTCTGAAAATGAATTACATGTTTAGTGGGCCTTAGTTGCTCACTTACATGGTTCATTGGGCCTGGAATGTGTATTATATGTTTCTCTTCGCGTAAATTCGATTAAGGATCTAGTGAGACGTGTTGGTTGACACCTATTGATTGTACGATCGTAGCCTGTAGTTATAACCAGAGTCTCTTGGAGGGAGAGTGGGGGTTTGTGTATAGATCTATACGGGGATGATTCCCCACACCTGAGCTGTTCACTACAGTTAGACTAAACCAGTCTAGGGTGACAAAAACCTTATTCTATTTCCGTCGGCGTCCATAAACGCCAAGACAGGCGAAATTGTCATTATCTAGTATGGTTATAACGGCTCACTTAGAGGAATTAACATTATGAAATTTACGGGAGACCATTCTCTTTTCTCTTTGGATTGCTAGGGAACATACTCACGCCGGTACTCAACCTCGGCGGTTAATATACTAGCATTCTCTTTTACAGGCAACATAGGGTTGTCTGGGGGCATTCTCTTTACATTCTCTTCATTCACTTTTGGCATTCTATTAAACAATAACACACATGCATTAATACAAGATCAGACACAAACATACTAAACTATTTTAAGAAAATATAGGATTTTCTTGTGTTTACAAAGTTATACAAATCATTTTCTCAAACATGTTTATGAACTCACCAACATTTTTATGTTGACCTTTTTAAATTAACTTGTATTCTCAGGAAACCGTTGAAGTAGGTTGGGCTGAACAAACTAATGGATGTTTTGTTATATATTTGTTTCATCATACTTTAATTATTCTGGCATGTAATATTCAAACACAATACTCGATGTAAACAATGTATGTTGTTATATTACATGTGTGATGATGATGATGTTATGTTTCAATTATATACTATGTGATGATACTACAAGGATGAAGTCACGCACAAGCCCCCAGACGTTTCCGCCGTCTGGTTCGGGGGTGTGACATTATAAGTTTTTTGTTGATTGTGTGTTTGAAGCTATTTGAGGGCAAGTGTGTTTCTATGTACTTGATAACAGATTTGGGTGTATTTGTGCGATTACAGGATAGAAACAAACTTGAGTTAGGATCGACTATTCAAATTCAAATATTCAAGTTATCTAACTTCCGAGAGCTTGTAAATCCTTAACCTAGAGGTTGCAATATTTTGATTTTAGGTAGATACATTTCCTATCTAGACATCAGTTATTTGTTGCTTCCTTTTTTAATTTGATTTTGGTGATGTTTATGTTGATAAAAACGACATGATTTTGATTTTTGTGATATTTTGATGTAGGAGTTTCATTTATAGGGTTTCTTACCCTAAAAGTCATCGCATTTGTATCCCCTTCTCCTCTACAACACCACCATCACTCACCACCCTCAATCAGAAGCCGTTGTACCCAACCACTTCTCCTCTCTTAGATTCTTCCTATCCCCTTTATACTGGTTTAAGTTTTGTACTTTCTTCTTAGTATTTGTTTGTTTTTTATTATGGAATCAATTAAAGTTAATGTTTTGATTTGCTGCTGATGATATTACACAGAACCAATTCTATTTATTATGACATGATTGGGATCCCAACAAATTACCATGGGGATGTATATCCTGATACTTACAACTTTCTATCATTAACAATGTTTCTAACAGTGGTATATTCAATTCACCATTCCTTTTTTGTTGTTTCAGGTTGTTGCAATTAAAGCCTTGAATATAATTTAGGAGGTACATTATTATTATTTTTTGTTATTTAAGATTAGTGCTAAACGCAAGAAAAAAAGGTATGTACACAAATGATGGAATCAGGTCTATTTTTTTTTTTTGAGTTGTAGATGGGTTATTGGTTAGGATAAGAGAATATGTAAAACCATTAAATGGAACCCTCGACATATTTATGAATATATTTGGGTTTCTTAACCATTTATGTGAACTAAATCTTATTAGGATTAGTTCAAAATTTGTTGATTCAATATTTCTAGGGTCTTGATATTTATCAAGATTTAAATAAAATTCAACTAAGCTAATGTGTAACATCTACAAGCCATCCTTTTGTACCGTTGCTTCATTTTCATTGCTAATGGCGATGTATCAAGCTTTAGGAATGAAACAAATGCAGTTTGAACATGCTCTTTGAAACCAATAGTCATATGTTAAATGTCAATTTTATTGGTTTGGTTTATAATGGTTCAGATTCCTAATAAAACCGTAACCGAACTGCTACATATCAATTAACAAAAAGAGAAACAAAATTGTCGGTTTAAACAATGGTTTGGTTATAATGAGCGGTTGTAACCATTAAATTTGTTTTGGTTTGGATTTTCTGGTTATTATGATCACCCTAAACAAAATGGTACATTTCCAGGAGGTTGAAAAAAACATATCTTTTAACCCAAAAACCATGCCATGAATATATATATAGATAGATATATATATATATATATATATATATATATATATATATATATATATATATATATATATATATATATATATATATATATATATATATATATATAGTCCGTGTCATTCATCTTTTTTTAATCCAGAAATAAAATTTTTATTTTTTCAAAACACAAAAAAACCGAATTTTGTGATTATAAAAACCAATTTTTTTTATTTAGATTTTCATCACAAAAAAAATGAAATACAATGGTAAAAGTGTTTTTTTTTTTTGCCTAAAACATAACATATTCTTATTTTACCAAAAAAACCACAAAGTATTAACTTAACCCATACAACAAGGTACTTTTATTTCTAACTCAATATATGCCTTAAAAGAAATCTACTCGATGCATGAAAACTAATTGCCGAAAGATATTATAAATAGCCGCCGCATCGCACGTGTATATTACCAGAGTGGTAAGACAGTGGTCATGGTTAGAGTGTATAAACTAATCTTCGAAACAAACTATTTGTCGCCCGTTGCTTTGCGCGGGTAAATGACTAATGTGTGTGTGTATATATATATATATATATATATATATATATATATATATATATATATATATATATATATTAAACTTTGGATTTTGGAGTGTTTGGCTTATCTTTTGAGAGGCCAAAAGTCCTTTTTGGAAAAGTTGTAAAAAGTCAGTTTTCCTGACTTTTCCAAAAAGTCAGTTTTCTTTATATCCAAAATGCAAAAGTAACTTTTAAAATGTTTTTACCAAACATTTTTTACCTTTTATCTTTTCCAAAAAGTACTTTTGGCCTCTCAAAAGATAAGCCAAACACCCTCAAATTTATGGTTTAGTTTTCTTGGTTTTCAAACCGAATTGTAATTTGGTTTTCGGTTTGGTGTGGTTGCCCTGAATTTGGTTGGGTTTGGACCCAACAAAATTTGCGGCCAATTTGAACATACAAAAAAGCATATAAGTATTATTTTTGTTATTCCTTTCTTGGTTTTCAAGTATAACTTGGATTGTTAAATCATATACACAGGCCCACATGCAGCCAATTTCGACACTAAATTTGCAGTCCTCATTCCGGAAATTTATGTTTGTTATCTGCAAAATCCATGTATGTTTTCTGATTTGTAATTGTTCTATAAATAAACATGAGTGACCAAAATCTATACCTTTCAAAACATTAGTTATTTATAATTAGTCCATAATATAATGGATAAAAACTGTTGTTGTTACTTACTAAACACTATACATTAATAACAACAAACATAGATCATACACAAAGTCATTTAAACAGGGACACTTACCATGCATAAATTTCAATTACATTCGAACCAATATGCAACAGGCAATTTCGGGTTATCAATAATACACCATTCATGTGCCTTAAAATATTGTTTTCTATACACAAAATGTGCATACTTGTACATGATTTTACTTGTCATCTCCTTCATCATCTGTGAAGTGATTTCTAAGTGTCTGGTTAGGTATCATCCATTCTTCACTCTCCCATGCTGCATCTTTATCTGGCAATTCATACTCATCCGCCTTTAACGACAACTCAAACTCGGGCAGTTCGGGCACCACTTCCAAACCCCTGCATTGAGCCTCAGTCAGCTCAAAAAAAAAAACACAACATACGATAAAGAAAAAATCTAAAATCTTACTTTTCTTGCTCTAAAAGATACGCGTACATCTGAGACTTTTTAGCTGCAGTTTCCGGAACCTTCTTATTCAAATGCTTCATAGCACCCCATGCAGTTGGAGCCCTTCATAAGCATCAAAATCTAATTAATACCGAAATGGGTACTACACGGAATTGTGTAAAATGACGGATCTAACCTTGTTATGGGAAGCGTAAGGCAAAAGTTCAAACATGCTTTCTTGCTCTCGGTTAATATTGCTTCGGCTGCAAGAAAGCAACACACAGCGCTGATGTGGCACGATGGTTCGCTACCCTTGTCAGTGATTAGACCATGGTAGTAGTATGCTGCAGCCTGATACCCAAAGATATTGATTTAAACACGTGTGTGGGGGTATTTTTGTAAATTTAATAAGTTTAGTAATGCAAAGTGCAAACCTTCGCTTCGAGGTACTTCCATTTGATAAATGATAGATGTTTTTTTCCGTATCCGTTGAGGTTGTCACAGGTGGACAAGCAGTAGTGTGCCTGACCGAAATAGCTTAGTTGCTCGCATGCTAGTCTTCTTTTTACAGATAAAGTTGCGTTTTTACTTTCAACAGCCGAAGCAAGCTGCATTTCTGTTCCCTGAAAGGATAGTCATAACGGTGTTTGTAACACAATAAATAACAAAACAGTAAAGAAATACTGTACAGTTTTAACACTAACAATAACAATATTACTGAATAGTAAGTACAGTAGTACTGTTACTGTTAGTGACACTAACGGTACTACTGAATAGTGAAGTTCAGTAGTACATAAGAGTGTGGTCTAAATTAGACTAGGAAAAGATCAATAGCAAGTGAAAATTAAAATATTTGTCTTATTCACATTAGTTCGCACACAGTTTAATGCAAGTCAAACAAGGAAACATGTTTTTATCAACTACTGTAAAGGCTGTCTAAAAGGGACATACCTGTGCTAGTGCTTGAATATAAGCGGCCTCAATTACATTCTCCTGCAAATCTACAGGAAGCTTCATCCTGATCATAAAGCAAGATGTGAATTACACGATTTGGTCCATTAATATTTATTTTGTGAAGATCAATGGCTTATTTGAAAATCTAAACGTACTTGATGTGAGGTGGAATTCGGACAAGAATTTCTTGAAGACAGAATTGAAGGTACCCAGCTGCCTTCACCAATAAGTCGACAGCACACCTGATGTTATCTATGGTTAACAAGAAAAATCAATGATCAATCGACCTTTTTCAGAGACGGATTTGAAGTTGGATGATCGTAATAGATAAGGGTTTGGTACCTGTAGATTCGACTTCTTCAGTAGTGACAGTTTGATTAGGAATTAGTTTTGAGTTTGCCTCCATTAATGTCAGCATCGCCATCATATGAACAACAGATAGTAATTCAAACCAGGAATCTGCAACACTTATTTCCTGCTCATCGAAGTGAATATTGGATTAAGGAATTCACATGAACAGAAAATCGAAAAGGGTATTGAGTTAATCGAATCCTTACTTGTCGATCGTCTAAACCTTTCCATTTGAATTCAACGAGCTCTCGGAAACCAAGTTCTGATGCGCAAATTAACAACGAAATTAGTACGAGTATACCTTAAGTAATCTAACGAATATACGAAAACGTTATAAACCTTGATCAGTGAGGCCAATTAGTAATGGTAAGTACTCCTCCAATGCACGTAGCAATTCAGGAACAGCTGATACATCTGCAACAAGTTACAGATCCGTAAAAAACAGCAGCGGATTTAACTATTTAAGAAACAGATTGAAATTAGGGAACAGAGAAGAATCTAACCAGTTTGTTGCGCTAGTAGAGCAATTTGATTCCGGGAAGAGGTAAGACGATCAGCCAAATCCTTGGGAACAAGGCCTTTAAGGGGTTTTTGGAAATTGGAGTTTATAGGAACTCGAATTGAAGGAGAAAGTATGGTAACGAGAGGGATCTTTATATGCTTCTTATTCCCTCCAACCCTGTAAACAGAAGCTGCACACCCCATTGTGAAGTTGTACGTTGTGATTATGGATCATAAATCGCTATTCTATAGACAATTCACAGGAATATTAGGCAGATGAGGTGATGTTTATGAAGCTTCTTGTGTATTGGATGTCAGATGGAGATGGGAAGAAGGATACGTGATTTGATGGATTCTTTACTCCAATTTTGATTTGATAGAAGCATTCGTGCAACTTGAAGCTGTCTGCGATATGGGAAATTAATGGTGTACATTGTTTCATACACCTGGAATTGGATTAAATAAATGGGGAAGCAGAGCTCAGATCTCTTTGTGAATTCATTCATGGCGTTAGCATGTGCATGTACATGGGTTACTGTGTTGGATGAGCGCAGATCAAGGACCAGGGTAGCCATGATTGAACTTCATCTTGGTAAAAGTGACTTGTTTCATCTTCTCTAACGCCTTACCTTTGAACAATTGATTATAGAAAGGATAACCAATTAATTTATATATTTTTATTAATTAGTTTATGTAGTAAAATAAAATTTTCATCGATTTTTGTGTGTTTACATTGTTACTAATTCATGCAACCGACTAGTGTAATGCATAAATTGATAAAGAAAAACCAGTGACATATTAAAAAATGCATATATAAATTAATAAAGAAGTTATAATAACAACTATTACAGGGATCCCATGTCGTTCCAAACAAACAACTATTAAAAGTGGCAAAATAAGAGTTTACACAGATTCGGGAATTTATCAACATAAATAATTTTACCTCATGAAAAAATAAGTTCGTCGATTTGCTACTAAATCTTTGGGTTAATTATTTGGAAGGTAATCATATGTCGTTCTGCATTTGTTCTTTTTATTTTTTACACTACATACTACTAGTATGACCAAATTTGCTCATTAAAAATCATTGTTACCGACAATAATGTTTCTTCTTTCGAAATTAAGACCAATATGTGGATATTTTGTGCAAATGACAGGGCATATCATATCTAGTTCACTTCTCTTTACCCATCCAAGTTTATAGCGACAGTAAATTAAACAAGAAATCAAACAATTATCACCTCCTTTAATAAAATTGAAGGTTCATTTGAGCTATTATTGTTCATCAACTCTTGAAGACAATTTCATCTCCATGTGTTTTGTTAACTGTTGATTTTAACAACGAAGGTGTTTTCCCATCTAAACTTCTAGTATACTTTAATGATCTTATTGCTTTAGTTAAAGATATCTCTTTTAGTTGTACAGTGTATAAGGATTCATGTTAACTAAAGAGAAAATGCAATGATATTTATTACTATGCTAATCAAGAGTCATTGTAGGTATGCTAATGGTATTAGAATAAGCATATATGTGGACTACTCTCAATGAACCTTGATTGATTAGATTGAGAAGGAAAGGTTAGAAGAGGATGAATATGAGGATTGTGATAAGGATGTCGATGAGATTCAAATGATTGTCATGTCACATAGTATCACATCACTTCCCCCTCAACCTTTCACAAGGAAATAATTACCGTCAATACTTCTAACCTTTCACCATATTTTATTTTATTTTTTAGTACTAAAAATAAAATTAAATGCAAATCAAACATTAATATCCTTAATTTTTTTCATTAAATTAAAACTTAAAAATTACATACATATAAGATACAACAAAAAAATAACATAAGACTACATTTAAAGATTAGCAAAAATATGTTTCACCCTATTGGGACGAAGGTTATCATGCACTTATTAGTTATGTATTGCGTGAATATTATATGTGTACACTTTGAGATGAATTTCTTTCGAGTCTTCATTTTCATCTTCATCTTCCGGTTCGTTGTACTTATACTATGCATCTCCTTAGTGTTCTAAAACCTGTTATATAATATAATGCGTGCGTACATGCTTTGTCATAGTTTTTTTTAGGAGTCATTGCTTGTGCCGGGTGTGAAAGTATGTGCCAACGTGACTTGAAGACGCCAAATGCCCACTCCACATCTTTCATTATTGATTCTTGCGCTTCCTTGAGCAGTTTGTTTTTCTCATCTTATAAACATGTGAAGTATTTTACTGCCACAACAAACTTAGGATATATGGCATCAATAAGATAATACATGAGCTTGTATCCCACTCCATTAACTTCAAACAGACACTCATGTTTTTTTTTCCATTATTAGGTCATTGCAAAAGGTGACTGATCAAGGATATTAATGTAATGATTGGATTCGGAGGACCAAAAAATGCATGCCAAATCCATAAATCATATGACACCATTGTTTCTAACATTATTGTCGGATACTCGTGATCACCCCGCATGTATTGACATCGCCATGTGTGACATCCCTTATTTTTCAGGATCGGTTTTTTTTCTTTACGCTTTAAAAATCATAAGATCTTGGTTTGCAGAAAATCCCAGTATATTAAAACATTTTGAATACAAATAATTGTCTCAATGTAACACCCAAAAACCAGAAGGCTAATTAAGGAAAGTTGATAAGCAAATTGAAGGTCTACTCGTCGAGTCCATAGGGGATAACTCGACGAGTAGGAAATTAGTTTTGGACGCGGGTAGAGAGACCTACTCGACGAGTTGGGGAGGACCAACTCGACGAGTTGGTCTGGGTTTGGGAAACCCTAGATTCGGGGTTTTTGCACCCTATTTAAGCATCTTAATCCCCACCCCTCAGCCTCATTTACAGCCTCCAAGTCCCAAACCCTAATCCACGAAACCCTAGTGCTTTGTTTGAGGCTGTGAGCCATTTTGAGTGATCCTTGTGTACACCTTGAAGCTTGTGGAAGAAGAGGAAGCTAGAGGGCTCAAGAGGGAGAGAGTAGATCCAGAAACTACACATCATTTGCTACATTTTCGGGTAAGCAAGTCCCAACCTTGCTCAATGGTTTCTTAGATCTCTTCTTTTCATTTTCATGAGGGTTTTTGGTTCAAGTATGTTAGCATGTGGAGAATGGACGACCCAAGATGGTATTCTTCCAGATCTGGGACTTTGAAGGGCTATTATGGCATAAAGGTGCAAACTTTATGCCATAGGAGCCCCCATGCAAGCTCTAAGATGCCATATTGGCCTTTTAAGCTCCATAAAGGCCATACATGAAGGAAAAGGTGGAAGCTTTACGTGTTTTGTAGTATCTAAAGCCCATATCTCAGTTTATATGCCTTTGTTTAGAGTGTTGATGATGTTTGGATCAAGATCTAAGTCTTAAAGGGCTAGGGTTTAAGCTATAGCCATTAAGTGAGGGTATTAACGGGTAAAGCTGGAAACATTACCCTTAAAAGGACATTTTCATAGTATATGAGAAGTATGGAGTCTTGATCTGAAGAATAGGGGCTTAATCTGTTAAGATGGACCAAACAGACTGAGGAACTCGGTGAGTCAATGGAGGGACTCGACGAGTTGAGTTGATTTGTCCCGATTCTGTACAGGAGGAACTCTACGAGTCTATGAAGGGACTCGATGAGTTGGTTCGTATTTTCGCTACTATGAGTAGCAAGGGAACTCGGTGAGTCAGGGGGGTGACTCGCCGAGTTGAGTCAACTCGGAGCGTTGACTTTGACTTTTTGACCAAGGTTGACCTAGTTTGACTTTTGAAGGCATTTGGACAAGAGTATGTGAGGGGTGGAATGGTCTTCTACCCCAGTGAGGACTTATGGTTAAGTTATAAGAATCCCGAACTTATCTAAGTTCTATGATGATCGGTAGCTCGGGGAGTCAAGAGATCAGCAGTTCGTGGATCTGCCAGCTAGCAGCGAGTGGTTTATTCACGGGATTCGACAGTCATCTTGTGAGGTGAGTCTCCTCACTGTTTGTATTGGTCTATGGCCATAATGTCGGCCCATTTAGTTTATGTATGGTACGAAGACCCGGGGGTTAGCCCTAGGCATGTATGATGGTATGTTATTCTGGACCAAGGTCCAATGTCGGGCGGTGACCGAGGAATGTTTGCATGTTAGATTATACTTGTTGACTGTGTGATACTTGTATGTGCCTAGTAGGGAGGTGAGTGTGGGTGAGGTCTCGTATCTCATCACTAGCTTAGTATGGAAGGGGTTCCATATCTCATCCATATCAGAGTAGGGGTGGGGCCCGTGATAGGAGAGAAGTGAGTGTGGGCGGGGGCCCGTATCTCACTATCAGCAGGAGTGTAGACGGGGTTCCATGACTCATCAGTAGCGGGACAGGGGCGGGGGCCCAAGATAGGTGAGGCCTTAGGACAAAAATACATTTAGAGTATGTTTGCTTTATGTGCTAGTACGATTATATGATATTGTTATATGTGTATGGCGGGCGGGGCCCAGAGACAGGCGGGGCCTAAGAGAAACAAATATGTATACCGAGCGGGGCTCGATGGTAGGCGGGGCCTGATGTCGAGCGGGGCCCGATGCCGGATAGAGTCCGTTTCCGGGCGGGTCCCGATGTAGGGGTGGGGCCCAGTATATGTGGTTATGTGTATGGTATGTGGTAATATGGGGAACTCACTAAGCTTTGTGCTTATGGTTTTCAGTTTTGGCTTCAGGTATTTCCAGTTGTAGAGAAAAGAGCTCGGGATGACTGCATTGCACACACCAATATGTTTTAGCCTGGGATGTTTACTTTGATGTTTTGTTACTCTGATAATAATGTTTTGAGATATTTGACTATGCTTTGAAGAAATGATTTGATAACTATGGCTTTATTTAGTGATTTAAAATGAAATTTTTGGTCATGATTTTTGGGATGTTACACTCAAACTAAAGGATGTCATAATCAATACAATACATAAGTTACAGCATAAAGACCTAATGGTCCTGAATACTATAGCAGGTCTTCTCTTCAATCACTCAACATCATATTTAAATCTTCAGCAGTCTTAACACCGCTACCTGTGATGCATATAAATTGAGTGGGTCGGGTTGGAAACTTGGTGATATATATATGGTTTTCAATCCCACAATGTTATTATGATAAGAATCCATAATTAATAAACCTTTAAACCAACTGTCATCCAATCAACAGAACATAAACATCTATAAGAAAATTTTCCCTGAATTACCAATCCCATCGATCCTCACATCCTAATATAGTGATCTTAAGCGATATATCTTGATGGATCAGTATCAGCAACGAGTTGACTATACTGGCTGGGAATTCCCTGGCTGTTGAAGAGGATCAATAAAGGCAACGATGAAAGGATGAAGTATCACGAATGAACGTACGGTTCATTAACATCTACAAGAATGATTTCTCGTAATATTCCACAAGTCTATGTAAAGTAACAAGTGGTCATCATCTTACTCCGACAGATAATTTAGACATATTAGTTGATGGTCTGGTATAGACTTACCCTTTCCAGCTGTCTAGATGACATACCTGTTGATGGTATAATACAGACTCTCCCTTTCTGGCTGTCTAAAATGA